AAGGGGGGGTTGGAGAACCTTCAGCATCAGGATTTTCATGTACGTTGTATTAGCTTCAAAAGCTTTACAGACTTCAACAACAATTGAGTTAATAGTAACAAAGGAAGCAGGGGAAGAAGGAGAAATCAGGGGTGGGGAAGGATTTTTCAGTAAACAAATCTCTATGGAGAGAATGGGTTTGGCATTGTTTAGCTGTAGACTAATCTTAAAAGAAATATTGGGAACCATCTGACAAGGAGCCCCTAGCATATCCTTGGATTTTTGACATTCACCGTGCTACGGTTCCTAAGCTTAAGGGACGCAACAGCCAACTCTCACCTACCGGAGCCAATCAAAATGGATTGCTCTGAAGCTGAGTTGCTTGTGTGAGGAAAGTGTAGGAAGCTCATGGCTGCAGAGTAATGCAGGGAAAACATAAGCAAGAGAGAGAGGGAGAGAGAAGAAAAGAATCAAGTAGCAGAGGATATAATCAGCCCCATAAAGGGAAACGTCCATAACATCTGCAGCTCTGTTTATGCTGCTTTGTGTAATAGGCGCCAGTCCTCTCTGTCCCCGAGGGAGATTTTACAGCATTAATTCACTCTGCACAATTCGAGCCAGCAAGGCTTCTCTTCAGCAGCCTCCTTTCCCAGCCCTCCACCCCACTCTGCTACAAGGACAGAGAGAGAGAGGCCATTAGGAACTGCACCCCTCCAGCTGACCTTCCTTTGCCCCTGGCTCAATGTCTCCAGTTCCCAATGAGGCAGATCCAGAAGTGCCCCGAATGGACCCGAGGATTTTAATTTTCCTTCTGTATGTAATGATCCTCCACGAGCTAGTCAGTGGCTGGATGGAGTATCAGAAGCAGGTAACCAAACCTAAGAAGCAAGCAGGTCCTGTTTGGTCCTCAAGGTGAGTAGATGCTTAATATTAAAAAAGGGGGGGACTAGCCCAAGATATTCATGTATGTTTTGATAAGGGAGGATTGCGCTACATAGAATCTCTCTGTCTCTCTCTGCTGTATTAGCACATCGGTAGGATTAAGTATGTTAATCTTTTGAGCCTGCACTGTATGAACACTTTAAGGATTTGATTTATATTCATAGATGTGTATGCTTCTGACTTGGTTTAAGGTGGAAATATGCTATAACACAGTGAGTTAGACTGCCAGTGGCATACATGAAAGGAAAAGAATTTGCTTGCTTAGAAATAACTGTTTCTGTGCACAATAACTGTGTTTCATGCACAATATTTGTCAGTGAATCATAAACTTCAATGGTCTCCATGTAATCTATTTGCTATTAAATCACTAGAGATCATGTCACTATTGGGTTGTGTCTCCTCGCACTCTTTGGGCTATATCCATCATACTAATCGTGTTTTGTTTCTGTAACACAAATTGTATATGTCTACATACATAAGAATGCAAATGAAACCCCCCAAATGACCCTAATACCAGATATTAAGTGTGTGTCTGTATAAATGTCATCCTTCCATTCCAATAATATAGCATCATCGTAATGTTTTTGATAATCATCGTCTTAATATTTTGAGGGTCTCAGGGTGTCTTGGCATCCATTCATCAGGCACATGTGCAACAAAAGCTGCTAATAGAATAAAGCGAGAGAATGATTAAAAGAGGGCGCTGTTCTACAATTGAAACAGTTCCAGATTCAAATGGGACTAAGGCAGTAGTAAAATGGTGGCCTTTTACTTTTGAAGCAAAAAATACCAATGACACAGTTGTCTTCAGGCCTTATAGTAACTATCACTTCCAGTGATATTAACCGTTATGGAAATTATTAGCTATACATTAGTACCAGATATCCCAGTCCAGATCAGGAAAGCAGCATTTCTTGATGCTGTACACAGTCCATGTTTGCACCACAGACTTACTAAGCCAGACAGTGGTGCTGAGGATTGACTCCCAGCAGTGCTGACCAGCTGCCTGCAGTACTGTGCAAACGTGGCTATCCTGCTTCCATTTCCAGAGGTGGTCCCCACTGAGCAGTGTGGCACGTTTGAGGGCATTGTTGTCTGGCACAATACGTCATGAGTTTTAGACATGACTTGCACCTTGTACAACGGGGCTCCAATCCTAATTGGGTAAGTAGCAGGAGAAAGTCCTATCCCGCCAGTGCTTAGAGTCTCCATAGACCACAGGCAGAGGGTAGGAAGAGATCAAGTAAATTATCCAGTGTCACAGGAATAGACCCCAGGTCTCCTGACTCCCAGCTCTGTCCCCAATTTGCTAGACTGATTCCTTGCTAGCAAAAACACAGTCCTACCTCCACTGAGATTAAGAGTTGAAAATACTGATGAAATGCTTTGTGGTAGAGTTTAGAGCTAGAAACAACTTATATGAACCATCTGATCCACTGACATGACAGCAATGACTTGTATTAGAACTTAAAGGTACCGATCTGGTTATAGTCTCCTTGGCAGCAAAGCCAAACATCTACCTGATTTCAAGTAGAAACAGGATCAGAACAATGAAAGTTTGTGAAATAACTTGTACTATAGGACTGAGATCTACCAACCCTCGTAAAACAACTTTATGATAAGACGTGGAGGAAGAACACTGGAATGACTCACGCTACAACTCATTCACCAGAAACAGCCTAAACATTTGCAATGAAAAGTAGGCCACAGTTTAGCTGCCTGTGAGAGAGCTTAGGATGAAATATTCAAAGCAACCTAAGTGAGTTAGGGACCCATCTCCCATAGGAAAAAAGATCAATGGGAGCCAGGTAAGGGATGAATTTATTAAGCTGTTGTAGTTATACAGGGATAATATCCTGGGTGGACACTCTTATTCCAGTATAACAGTGCCTTTTTCTAGTTTAGTCTATGCTACTGGGGAAGCTGGTTAAGCTCCGTCAAAAAATGCCACTGATGCTGGGATAAGAGTGTCTATTCCAGGGCAGGGGTCAGCAATGTTTTTGGGCAGAGTGCCAAAAACACCCACTACCTCAACTTGTAAGATGTTGGTGTGCCCAGGGGCAGACAGTGGGGAAGTTAGGAGGGGTCCAATCCTTGTTGTAGCAGCACAGCTCCAGCCCCTTCCCCACTGTCTACCCTGAGGTGCATGTGCCAAGCAAAATACCTTCATGTGCCACACTCAGGCACCTATGCCAGGGTTCCCTACCCCTGGTCTATGCAGTGAGTTATACCCTTGTAACTAAGGCAGCTTAGCTACACTGGCATAGTTATAATAAAATAGTTATAGTCATGACACTTCTTCATGTATATCCACCCACAGGGCCAGATTTCCAAGTGCTCACAGCCTACAACTGGGGCCAGATTTTCAGAATTGCTTAGATCCTAGCTGGACAGGTTAAATACAAACCTGATTTGAAAAAGTGCCCAGTAACCAGCAGTCTCATTGTGGCACCTTTAACCAGATTTCCAAAGTACTCAGCTCCCAGCATGCAGAGCTCTCCGGCTTTCCAGGCCCTTGAGTTCCTTATTTCCTGGCACCATGGTCTTGTGCTGGTGAAAACATAAGTAACTGGTGCAACATGAGGTTTTCTGACAGTTATATTTATAGACAGACATATTGCAAGAAAAAATATTCAAGCCTTCCCAACTAACGTAACCAGAGCCTGGTTTAAATCATGGGCCCAGCTCTCTAATATCATAGCCCTATCATAGCAGGTGCTGCCATTTTCATGGCCAGATTGTGGTGCCTCCCCTGCCTGATTACCTGAGAGCCTCTTCCCCCCCTACCCACTCCCAGCAGCAGCCCAGCTTGGCTGCACAAAGCTGTATTGCAAAGCTGACATGCCCCTGGGCCAGGACCCACCCCCGTCCCCCCGTGCTGCAGTCAGCTTATTCCAAGAAACCCTCTCCCTCCTGCACCGGGGAGGAGGAAGAAGAGGGGCCAATAGAGCCTCATTCCCCACTACTCCTCCACTGAGCAGGGGCAGGTGCTGAGGGGAGGGAGGATGGGATCCCCTTCCATCTCCCATGGCAGGGGCTTTCCCCTCACCTCCACACCCAGTGCGGGGTGGGGAGGGCATGGAGCCCCTTCGCCACCCACCACCCCACTGGCTGCCCCCCAGGGATGGGGAGGTATGAGGGAGGGCTTGACCCCAGCCATACCTTTGCTTTCCTGGTCTCAGCTGGAGCTCGGCTGGGCTGGGCTGGGCTGGGCTGGGCAGGCAGCACCTGGCTTCTCCCTGCTGGCTGCTGCCACCTCGAGCCACTGCCATCTCAGGGGCTCTGGCCCCCCTCTGCCTCTGGGCTGCAGAGGGGCTGGGCAGGCAATGGCTTCCCCCAGCACTGAACATAGCGTGGGGCTGGGCTGGGCTGGGCAGACTGGGCCAGCACACAAAGATGGAGCTGAGGAGGCAGCCACTGCCTCTAATCTACTTCATGGAGGCTGGCTGGGCTGGGGGGGGGGCAACCCTGGTCGTGGAGGGTTGTAAGAGCAAGAGGTTGTACTGTGGCATTTCACTGCAAATCACATTTTTCATGAAAATCACTTAATTCCATGAATTTCATGAAAAACATGTAAAATCGTGATTTAAATTGGGCCCTAAACATAAACCTCCAGACAACAGCAAGCCAGATCCTTACTAGCACACAAGGAAATCTTGGCAAATAGGGCAATTACCAACATGAGCTGGAATTAAACTAGCAATGTACAGGTAGGCGAATAGCTTTGTCTCCTGTCGCTAGCCCTGAATGGCCCCCTGCTGAGGCCTGTTCATTTTAAAGTAATTAATTTGAAAAGCAGTTAAAGAAGCTAATTAGGACAGAGACAAGGCTGTCTCCTGACTGCCTTGCACAATGGCCGGATTTTCAGAGCTCCACATGGTTTGCGCAAATACTAAGCAGTCACAAGATTTGTCAGAGAGGCCCTGTCCTGTTCTCAACCCTTCTACAACTCCCCCTCCCATGCATCCTTCTCGTTGCCTTTCTGCAGTCATCAGCAAGCTCTGGAGTTTCTAGGCCTTATTCCCACTTCCTTTCTGTCTTCCACCACTCCTTCCATCCTCACCATCTCCTCCTTCTAGACCAGGGGTCGGCAACCCCCAGCACGCTTGCCATTAGTGGCATGCGGAGACATTTTTCCCAGCAGGCCGGGAGGCACTGCAAAGAAATTGTTTGTTTGTTTGTTTAAGTTGCTGCTCCGGGCTGCATAGCCACAAGTGCCAGCGCTGCAGCAGGCACGGGGCGGAGCCAGGGGAGCGCAGGCAGGGAGGCTGTCTGTGTCCTACTGCCCTCGCCCCTTGCTCCCAGGCTGTGCCCTCCAGCCCGGCTGGCCCCTGGAGGGAGCTGCCCAGGCAGGCAGACGCCCTGTCCCACCTGGGGCAGCACTGAGGTGCTGAATGCTGGGGCTGGGCAGTTGGGACAGGGTCTGGGTGGTGTGGGGGGAAGCACCACGGGCAAGCCAGCCCGGTCGGGTCCTTAGGAAGGTGGGAGCTGGGCAGGAAGTGGGGGCGGCCCCGGGGCTCTGTGGGCTCAAGCTGTGGTGGGCGGGCGGGGTGGGGTGCCCAGTGGTACCCATGGGGGACATGGCCTGGCCCACACAGCTCCTCAGGGATGGGTTGCAGCCACCTGCACATGTGGGGATGCTGCCTGGCCCAGGTAGGACACAAGGCTCAGGGGGCTTCCCTCTCCAGGATCAACCTCCCTGCATGCTGGGCACAGCGCAGGCAGGGCAGAGCCATCTCTGATGCAGGGGCCTGGCTGCGGGAGCCCCCTGGAGCCTGGGAACAGCCACCGCGGCTGCCTCAGCCTGCCCAGGTCCCAGCCTTGCCCACCCGCAGCTCCCCTGAAAGGGCCAGGGCTGGGGCAGGCACTGCACAGGACCGCTGCACTGCAGGCTCCCGGCTGCCTCAGGCCTGAGCACCGGCTGTATTGGCTGTTCCCAGAGCCAGGGGAACAGCCTGAGGCTGCAGCTCCCATTTGCAGTGTACCCGGCTGGCACAGAGACCAGCTCCCTGAGCTTGGTGTCCTGCTGCAGCCAGGTAGCATCCATTTGTGGGCAGGGTGGCTGCGTCCCATCCCCGCGGAGCTGCACGGGCCGGCTGGGCCCCACCTCTGGTGGTGCTGGGCCCCCCGCTGTGGCCCAAGCAGCAGAGCCCTTGGGCAGCCCCCACTCCCTGCCTGACACCAGCTCTCTATTTACTGTAAAAAAAAAGTTAAAAAAAAGCAAGATTGATGATTATTAATTGTATTAAATATGCAGTGCATCCTGCCATGTAGCCCCTCTGCCCCAGTTTTGTTTTTGTGGCATGCCAGCACTCCGACAGCTTACAAGATAGGCATTGTGGTTTTTTCAGCACTCAGACCAAAAACTGTTGCCTACCCCTGTGCAACTAGCAAGTGTGAATATTTGACATCCCTGACTTTTAGGGCATTGACAGAAGTGGTGTTTTGTCATGCCATCAGCCCCCTGAAGCACTCTATAGCCATGCCCTGACAGAATTGCATGGCTGCAGAGCTCTTTAAAAGCACCTGATCACACTTCAGAAGTTCTCCAAAGCAGAGCGCCTTCATGAACTTCTGTCAGTGCATGCTGGGAGCAGGGCTGGGCTGATGCAGTCCAGCCTCGCTCCTGGGGGTTTGCCCAGTCTCTGCTGGGGGTGGGGGCGGGGTGGATTGGAGCCCATCCC